GGCCCTGGGTGTTGTGCAGCCTCTGCACATGCCAGACACCAAGAGAAATGTAGTGAGCGTTTGGGGTGGGCAAAGAATGCAGGGAACACTTCAAGGGCAGGAAGTCTCGAAAGATGATTTTTGAACATTTCTGAATTGTTTTTATTAGGGAGGAGGAGGACTCCAGGGCCCTTGGGTGAGTTGGTTTGTTTTGGTTTTGAGAACTGTAAACGTGGGATGGAGGAGCTGGGATGGCTCATGTGTACAGAGAGTGAATATTACATATTTTCAGATGACGCCTCTTCTAGGCTGTCAAAAAAAAATTCAATAGCCTGAAAACAAGCATTTAAAACTTCCTCCAACACCTCTGGGAAAGGAATGAGTGAAAACAGGAATTTAATAACAGAGGTGGCTTTTTTTTTTTGCTAATAAATTCTTACAGCAATAAAATGTAGATTAAGTAATTAAACAACATGGGCCAAATCCTGCCTTGCCTTAGCAAAGCTGGTAGTCCCACGGATTTCACTAGGACTATTGATGTGAGTAAAGCAAGGAGAAATTGACCCATTGTAGTGCAGGTGGAAGCAAAACAAACAAACCCCTTTTCGATCGTTATCAATAGTTAATGCGAATAGCAGTTCAAAAAGGCTGGTAGGAGTGTCCCGGGGAAGTATATAATGCCATTGTGTTAGATAAGTTATTACAAATCAATTACAATGGTGTTATTTAATACAAACTATACACATTTTGTTAATAGAGAAGCAGTAGTGTCCAAACCCTATAATTCTATTCGAGGCAAAGAGAATATCTGGAAAGCCCAATGCTGCAAACAGTCAGTCAATGATGCTGCCCTTGAGATAATATGGGCTCTACATTCAGAGGGTTCAAAAGTTTATGTTAAAGGGTCATGTCTTGGGGCATGCTTCCTCACGATAAAATTCACCCCTGCGCTGAGAGCCAGCACAAGCCCTATGCAGTGACTTAAGTGCCATTCCAGCCCTCAAAATAGTGGAACTCAGTTGCTGCAATAGGTTCTGTGTTTCCCCTCTGCACAGTGGTGAACGTCACCGCTGAATAGGCCGCTTAGAACCGCTTGCATAAGTAAGAATGACTCACACGAGTTAGAATAGCAGGATCAGCTCCCAGTTTCGGAGGTTCTTCCGGTATGTTTATGGTTGTGGGAGAACCAGTTGCAGGCTTGGGCAGCAGCTCTAATTTAGCTAAAGAGGGAAATCATCTGTCTGGTCCTTTTACTCACATGAATAAAGTGAGCAGAGTCTGGATCAAAGTTAGGGAAACTGCATGAATGCGTGGGGGGGGGGGGAAGGGGCAGGGGAAATAGAGAAAGGTACAATACATTAGTGGCCTCATAACGGCCCCATAGTTTTCCAAAAAGATTAATAGTAAAGCTTCCCCTTGCACTAGAGAGCACAATTAGGCCCCCAAAGGATAACTAGTGTGAAAATAATATTTATGGGCAACGCCTACCTGTGTATCAAATAGGGTTTAATCCATTGTCAAATAAATGTTGGGATACTGTGGGTCAAACCCTCCCTGTAAATCTGCCACTCTCGACTGACTCCAGTGGAACTATGCTGCCATACACCAGCGGAGAATGTGGCCCTATATGATACACCTGTGCTTACATTTTTGCCGGTCAGATTTTTTTCTCCAGGGGCCCTGTGGGGCCAGAACCGCTCACCTTTGCTCTTCTCTTTCTCGCGGTCTGTGGGAGAGATTTTCCTACTGATGCTTATGCATAACCTTCGTTACCACTAATAAAAAAACACTCCTGTTAATCGAATGTCTCTGCTACTTCTATAAACACGCCGCGGTGCTAAACATGAACATGGCGAATTCGCAATGAAGTTACAATAGCCGTGAAGATTTTTAGATACTGGGCACCTCGGGCAATTTTACTTTATAGAAATGTGTAGCCAAAGTGTAGTTCCTATTACCCCCCAATCTATAGAGCTGACACTGCAGGCTCTCAATGAACCCTTCTACTCGCTGAGCCGTGGTTCAGACCTGGAGACGTGGTGTCTGCTTTTTGGCGTGAATATCATGCTTTTCCCACAGTCCCCAGCACGCTTCTGAGTGGTCCTGAGTTGATTTGGGGAATGCTCGGAGGGGGTGCGGTGCTCTATCGGAGTAGTCCAGGTATGGGTCGCCAGAGCTCAAGTACAAGTACATTCTCCCGTCACCTGCCTACTCTGTAAAGTGAGGAGAGCTTGAATTGTGGTCTATTGATGTTTAACTTTCATGTCAACTAAGGGAAGTTAAAATTGGTGGACACGATTATCACTGCACACATTTCTTGCTGCTGTTCCCATGGAAGTCAATGGCACAATTTCCAGAATGGAGTCCGGAGAGCAAATACCGGTTTTACAGAAGTTGCTTAGGAAGGTCGGGAGAGGGATCCTCTCTTCCCCCAGAGTTCAAATGAAAGTAAATAATGCCTTTTAAAAATCTCCATTAATCTTTCCCCAGAGGGAGGAGAATAATCTGTTTTAGGCCTTTGGTTGGTGAAGAGCCGGTTACTGTTTACAAGAGATTTCTTTTTTAAATGGCAGGGATGTGAACAGCAACAATCCAATAAGGGACCAAATCCTGCCTTCTAATTTGCCCAGGTAATTCCACAGAGATCAGTGGGGTTACGCATGTGAGTAAACTGAACAAGATTTCCTCCAGATTTGTTAGAAACATAAATAAAATGAGGAGAGCAAATCTGTATGGAAAATAGTTTAACATTCACCCCTTGCAGAGGAGCTGCATAAGGCCTTCACTTACACTTATTCGTCATGGGTTACCGTTAGACACAGGAGTCTTGCTAGCCCTCTTCATGGGGTGAATTTCATTCTGTAATGAGCAGTTGACACAGGATGTCTGATATGATCAAGGTCATTCAAAGTCAGAGAACAAAAAGAAATTACTTTTATCGTGAGTTTTTGCCTCTTAGTGTATTACCAGCTCTGTTCTATTTCCACCAAAATTTCAACTCTTAAAGATAAGAGTATCTCTCTCATAATAGTAAGAACATTTTGACCACGCAGATCCAAAATAAAAAATATAAAAAATTGGAGTGTGTATTGACTTACTGGATTCTGTTTTCTATTTTTTTAATTCTGGGTTACAGCTTTTTGTTTTCTTGCTGAGAAATTATGCCTTTGGATACATTATCAACGGCTTGAAATTGCTTAGATGAATAGTCCTTTTTTAATGTATTCATTTCTCTCTCCTGTTGTTGGAAGCTCAACTTTTTCAGTGTAATTTCTCCCTAATATGTATTTGAGACTTCCTTCCATTTTGGGGTGAGACTTTCCTAAATTGATTTTGAATGTATATACACACATACACAGTTGGTCCTGAATATTTTGTTCTTGGATATTGTGTGATTGGTTGTTTTTTAGGGAATTAAAAGAGAAATGAAGAGACAGGGAACATCAGGATATTGAAATGTATAGAACTATTTTGTATTTTCAGTGTCAGGCAGCACAGGATTTCTAAAAACCTGTATCATTCACAGTTTCCTTCTTGTGGCACTGCACTTTGTAAAGCAATCTGGAAAAAGGATGGGGCGAGATGGCAAAATTTGCAAAGCATACAAAAAGCATAGTTAAGTCCAAAGCTGATCATGAAGGGTTACAAAGGGATCTCACAAAACTAGGCGACTGGGCAATAAAATGGCAGATGAAATTCAGTATTGATAAGTGCAAAGTAATGTATATTGGAAAACGTAATCCCAGTTATACATACAAAATGATGGGGTCTAAATTAGGTGTTACCACTCAGAGAGATCTTGGAGTTTTGTGGATAGTTCTCTGAAAACATCTGTTCTCTGAAAACAACTTGCAGCAGCTGTCAAAAAAAGCTACCAGAATGTTAGGAACCATTAGGAAAGGGATAGATAATAAAACAGTAAATATCCTATAATCCATGGTACACCTTGATTACTGCATGCAGTTGTGGCCATCTCATCTTTAAAAAAAAAAGAGATCTATTAGAATTGGAAAAAGTACAGAGCAGGGCAACAAAAATTATTAGGGATATAGAACAGCTTCCATATGAGGAGAGATTAAAAAGACTGGGACTGTTCAGTTTAGAGAGATAACTAAGGGAGGACCTTATAGAAGTCTATAAAATCATGAATGGTTGGAGAAAATGAATAGGGAAATATTATTTACCCTTTCACATAATGGGTAACTATTGGTTCTTGCAATGAAATTAATTGGCAGCAGTGTTAAAACAAATATAAGGAAGTACTTCTACAGGCAAGGCACAGTCAAGTGTGGAACTCATTGCCTGGAGATGTTAAAGTCAAAAGTATAACTGGGTTCAAAAAAGTCTTAGATAAGTTCATGGAGATAGGTCCATCAATGGCTATTAGCCAACATGTTCAAGGATGCAATCCCAGTTTTTGGGTGTCCCTAAACCTCTGATTGCCCGAAGTTTGGACTGGAAGGGATAGATCACTTGATAGTTGCCCTGTTCTATTCATTCTCTCTAAAGCATCTGGTACCTGCCACTGTCAGAAAACAGGATACTGGGCTAGATGGACCATTGGTCTGACCCAGTGTGGCCATTCTTATGTTCTTAATCTTTGTGGGACACATTGCAAATATTTTATTACTATAGAGATTTTTAACATCTTACATAATTTCACCTGACGATATAGTCTACACCTTCAGTTGTTAAGTGAAAATATGAGTCTAAAATGCGAATAGGAGTACCCCTAATTATCCAAAACCCTGTTAAATAAAATAAAATAAAACGATCATTTTAGCACTATGAGCCTCAGATAGCCTTTATTAAACTCAAAATCAACCATTAACATCAATGGGAGTTGGATCTGGCCCTAGGATTATAAAATTCTTAGACCCTCTCAGGTTTCTATGTTTGAAAAGATGTCTAGCTTCTTTCCTATCCGCATCTTTTGGAAAATCCAGGCACTGGGAAGCATCTGTTCGTATTCCAGGTCTGGGAAGGAAAACTGCAACCCAAGAAATACACAAAGATCTGCCTTCTGTCAAACTAGTAATAGTTTATTAATTTAAGTGGTGTATTTACCTTCATGGTTTCCTTTACAGTGGTAGTGTTTGAACGTTTATTTTTATTTTTTTTCAAGTATAAGCTAATATACATATTTGTGCAAAGTAAAAATCTAAAACAAAAACAAAGATCGTGTTTGCTTTTAGAGTATTTGAGAACATTTCCAAGTGGCATATTTACAATATATTATTCCTCTTTATTATACTTCATACATTTAAGAAAAAAAGCCGGACAATAAGTTATGTTCTAGGAGGAAATATTATAACATCAATTAATGTGGACTCTTCTGTAGACGTGGGGAGGGTACAGCATTGGATTAAAGATTAACAAAATTGGGTGCAACCTAATGAGTGGAGGCCACAGCCTCCCCTGCTGCCATCCTCTGATTTCCAGCCTACTGTGTCAGGGTAACAAGGCGGCTCCTAGGTGTCCTGGGGGATGGTACCCGGCTGCTGTAGACGAACCTGGTGCCTGCAGTTCAGTGCTTTGTGTGGCTGAGCAGGGCAGAGCCGCGCAGGGAGCTGGCCACCCGCCCCGGCCCTATGCCTGGGGCGGAGCGGCATTCCTTGCAGGCTGGGCTCGGAGGTAGCTGACCACTTGCTGATGCCCGCTTTCTACAGCTAGGTCAATGGGGAGGCGGCCCGATTTGTCCCGCAGATCCAACCGAGCCCCGCCTCGGTGCAACGCCACAAGGGTGTCCAGGAAACCTTCTCGCGCCGCATCGTGCACTGGGAGGGAGCCGGTGCGCGGGTCCGGACGGTTGGGATCCGCTCCTCTCTGCAGCAGCAGCTCCGCCACCTGGGTGTTTCCCATCATCATGACCTAGAGGAGAGGGGCAGAAGCCGTCAGTCACTGACTCCGTGTTTGGCCAACTCTTTAGACGGGCAAGACTCCCACTGGTGGCCAAGCCTGGGTTGGGACTGAACTGCAGGATTGGATTCTCTCTAACTAATGCCAAAGGGTTAACTATTGTGATTTTCAGTCTGAGCCTGATCCAACTACCATTACAGTCAATGGGAATCGGATCAGGCCTGTACCTACAACAGGGCATCTGGAAGATAGGTTAATAAAATGTTGATCAGAGTCAATCGCCTCTAGGCTCCAAAGGCGTCGAATACCACAAAGGCTGCAAGACCAAGAGAAACGGTAAGCTGTTTGAAATGGTCAGAAAATCAAGTCTTAGGTGTCCCCCCCAGGTATGTAAATGTGTATATTATTTCATGTATGAATTAAAACATCAGTGTGCATACAGGCGCGCACATTCGTGCTATACTGTAAATAATCCCCTCTTACGCACAATGCATTTGGGGAAAACGCTTTCAGTTTGTGAGCACATGTACAGAGAAATGCTACCGACCATTTATCTGCACAAACGTGAACCTCGGTTTTAGGAAAGTCTGACATTTTACTAAAAGGGAGGGTTCTTAGGTGGACCCAAAGGGCGGGATCCCGCAATCCTTACTCTGGCAGAATTCCCGTTAAGGCGAACAGAAATGTTACCTGAGTAAGAAGCTGCTCATTATGAAAATACAAAATTCAAACTGGAAATTCATTTATAAACACACGCACAAGAATAACAACAATAAAAGCAATAACTACCTCCAAGCTGCTTTTTTGAATGGCAGGTATAATATAGATTTAAATCTTTCCCTCTGTATAAAAATATTGAATTTCAATTTAAAAATAATTAAACTTTGCTTTAGTTTATGGCACTTCCAACTCCCCCACCCCACCCCTGCGCTTAAAATAGCAGATCATTCACTAGCACTTACACAGCTGTTATGCTTTCTGCCGGTACGACTTTACGAAAACAATGATTCGCCTGTGTCTGTGTTTCTTTTGAAGGGATTTAAAATACAGTTTTAACTTAGTCAAATGGCCATGAAGACACTAAAATTTCTATTTACCTTATAACCATACTAGAAAGCTCGCTGCTTTTAAAGTTAGTTTTTTTATGTTGAAATCTAAATACTGAAAGATACTTCACAAAAGTGCAGCAAATTAAATGATGCAGCACAATTTTTACTGAAGGGATATTATCAGATGCATAAATTACTCCTTTTCAGTCAAATGTTGATGTTGTAATACAAATTGTCATTGCCAGTCTTACACAATAGCTTTTCAGATAATTCCAATTTTGTTTTATGCGAGAAAATACATAAACGTTTGCTAAATACATAAATAACTGAACCTAAGTAGAAATCAAAATTTAGAATGTACTTTACTTTCTAGTACTCCTGCACGAGATTAAAGTTTTTAATGTCTGTACTTCGCTATATATTACATAAATAACTCACTCTAATGCATACCCTTTCCCCCCCTCCATGATCTAGTGTTTCTACTCGTATATAGTTTAGTTAATGTATTCGGTCTCGGACGAAAATATTATATCACTACTTCCTGTAGTAGATTTAAAATGAAAGGGCACCCTTTCCGAAAATGATATTTAGGCACAGATATAGCAATTATTGAAATTCGAGAATTTAAAGCACTTGGTGGGTTTGAGTCATCATGTCACAATTACAGTTACAGATGAAAACAATAGGTTGTTAAAACTAAAACTGCTTTCAAAGGAGGTCGTGTTTTTAATAGACTTTCGGTTTTCTCCTTAAGTGAGATGAACTAGTTTTCTTCGATCATTTCATAACTGTGGCTTTGGTGTCTACTCCTTGGGACTGTCTTCCTCAGGTAGAGCACCCCCAAAGAACTAAATGGGGGCTTTGTCTGAGTAGGGGGTGCAGGATCGGGCCCTGAAAATGACCAAGAAATACTAGAGGATAATTATTAAATCGGGCATATATTTATCTCTTTATCTATAACTAGCCAACCGAAGCATGTCCTTTTAGAATGTTAATAATGTCTGATATCAGAGGGGTAGCCGTGTTAATCTGAATCTGTAAAAAGCAACAGAGGGTCCTGTGGCACCTTTAAGACTAACAGAAGTATTGGGAGCATAAGCTTTCCTGGGTAAGAACCTCACTTCTTCAGATGACTTGCATCTGAAGAAGTGAGGTTCTTACCCACGAAAACTCTGTTGCTTTTAATAATGTCTGATGTTTATCTGAGGAGACAAATTTAGTGTTTTATGACTTTGTTTCTTATAGATATTTCTGCGGCCACCGAGATGGTGTATCGCCATTTCAGCATTTTGTTAATCTTGTGAAAAAATGTCTAGCGTTTGTATGCACTGGATAGAATTTCCCATTCCGCTTCGCCTTTGGATTTTATGGGCTATCATTGATATTTATAGTGTCAACTTTACGGTCTCGGCGGAAGGGGTGATTTTTGGCACATGTATGAGAAACAACACTCCCTGCGTAAAAGCAGTCACAAAATGCGACACGCGCTAACAAAAACAGGTTTAATTTTTTTTTAATCGCCTGCAAGAATGATTGAGTGCATGGCGAATAAATAGCGAAAAGAACAATCATGGAAGGGGATCGGCTGACTTTCTGAAGGACTCTACATTGATGTGTCGTTTTGCCACCCCCACGCTATGAGCAGTCAGCCCGGGGTGAAAGTAACAACCGACGCTCCCCGCACTTTGGAGCTGCTGTGTGTGATGATAGCCGTAGAATGCCTGCGAGGCTTTTAGAGAGCCCGAGTCTACGAGGCGCTGCGTTCACTTAAACCAGGGCGTGCTAAGTGCTCAGCACCTGCAGTCCTGGAGTCTTTTTGGTTCCCCCCCTTTGTACCACCACCTCCCACCGGGTCCTGAGGCTCCTGCCTGGCTTGCCGTGAACCCTCTCGCTGGTCCCTGTACCTGGATCGGCGTCCTGTCGTAGGAATTGACTGCATTGGGGTCCGCCCTCTGGTCCAGCAGCTCCCTCACCTTCTCCAAATTCCCTAAGGCAGCGGCGCTGGCCATGTCGTTGGCCCCGGACTGGTCCATGCCTCTTCCTCGCTGCTGGATCTCACATCAATTAGCACCAGTGTCCGGGGCCCCCGTCTTGCGCTTCCCCCTTTCGGCAAGGTCTCGGGGCTGGGGCTCTCCGGGGCTGTTCCAGCTCGCACCGGTCTCCTAAGCCATCAGAGCGCGGCACGGCCGCCGGCAGCTCCGCTCGTCGCCTCTCCTCCGAGAACCCCGAGGGGCAACGGCGCTTCCTGGGGTGGCTGCAGCTCCAGCGGTGCCCACCACCGGGCAGGCGGGTCTGAACAGCTCCCCGGGCTTTCTCCCGCGTCGCCCTCCTCTTTCTTCCCCGGCCCAGGTTCAGCACCGCCGCGTCGCCGAGCGAGAGGTGAGTGCCGGCTGCAGGGACACCGCCTCTGCGGCTCCGCTGGAGAAGCCGAGGACTTGTTTTCTTCGTACAGCTGGTGCACCTCCCCGCCCCGCGCCTGTCCCCTCCCCTGCCCAGCCGCCCGGTACGTGTTCTGACTTGCCCAGCCGCTGATGTCACGCACCCAGGCGAACAGCGACCAGCCATGGAACAGCTGGGGAGCGCGGTGTGTGAGAGCCCGTCCCGGGGGCGCATGCGCTCCGGGCTTCCGACTGGCGTTCTATAGAACGTTCGCAGCCAAAGATTCTGGGGAAGGAACCTTCACGTCTCCTCCCCCCACGCACACCCTCCCCGCTCTTGCAGAGTCAGTGGAGGACTTGCGGCTTGGGCCGTTGCTGGATGGTGCTTCCAGTGCCATGGAGCGAGGGATGGGGGGTAGGGCGGCCCTGCTCGGCAGTAATCTTCTCCGCCTTCAGCACAGGCAGCTCCTTTCCTGGGCTGCGGCCTAATCTCGCCTGACAGCCCCACGCGCAGGAGGGAGGGGTGGAAAAACAACCCAACAAAACCCAGCTCCTCCAGAGGCTTCAGTCAGCCTTGGGGAATAGCCAATGAAGAGCGAGGCTGTTGCTGACGGGCAGCGTGACCTTGAACAAGTCACCTCCTCGGTTTGTGCCTCAGTTGACTCATCTATAAAGTAGGGCCAGTAATTCCGCAGCGTCACAGGGGACGTGAAACTCAGTCCACTGATGGCTGCAAAGTGTTTTGAAAGCCTCAGATGAAAGGTACTACAGATATGCAAAAAATATTAATCCTGCTTGGCGTCAGGATAATCTGGGTGGTCCCGTGGCTAGGGCATTAGATTGGGACTGTGGAGATCTAGGTTCTCTTCCCAACTCTACCACCGACCTGTTGTGTTACCTTGGGAAAGCCATTACATCGAACTGTGCCTCAGTTTCCCTTCCCAACCTAAGCTTATTCTACTCAAGTTTTTATACTACCCCTTGTCACCTTTCAGAAATTGCATCTGAAGAAGTGAGGTTCTTACCCACGAAAGCTTATGCTCCCAATACTTCTGTTAGTCTCAAAGGTGCCACAGGACCCTCTGTTGCTTCTTTCAGAAATTGTCACTTCACCGCTTTGTGCCTCAGTTTCCCCATCTGTAAAATGTGGTTAATAAAGCTGATCTCCTTTGTAAAGCAATCTGAGATTTACTGATTTTAAAAATTGCTATATAAGAGCAAGGTATTATGATTGTTTAATAATTATATATGTTTCTTTCTTTTCTTTACTCACCTCTCACTTGTCTAGTTTGCAAGCTTTCTGAGGCAGTTTGTCTCTTAGTATGTGTTTGTATGACGTGCCTAAGGCAAAGGGACCTCTAGGTACAACTAATAGAAATAATGTCTCCACCTCCCCTTCCAAATCATCCATTTTTAAAAACCAGACTTAAAGACTTTGTACATTACAGGTGGGTGTTGGAGAATATGCAGGTTTCACTTTCATGTGTCAAGATGTTTGCACAATTCTTGTTTTCCTTGCCTCTGCCAATAAAACATATAGTACCTTGGCAAAACCAGCATGCTTATCAATTGAGGGTGATAAAGATAAAGTGAATTCAGATAAATAGAATGAAATATGGTGAGGTAGATGGGTGTTGTCATGAAAAAGTTGAACAAGGCTTGTGATCCCTTTTCTGGAATCCCACAGTACTTGTCGCAGAAAGAAATTTTCTTTTCTTCAAGAGTTTTATTTTTAAAAGTTCAGTGAGATACAGACAAATTATGGGTTGGTATGTGGCAGCTGGGAATGTTGCTGTATATTTTTTAAAATATAAATGTTAGTAGATTAAAGAAAAATATATAGTGTGGTATTGGAAAGCTCGACCATGAAAGCAAATATCTTTGCATGTTGATTTCTGTAGAAAAATACTGAAAGAGGAGAGAGAGGAGGCGGCGGAAGTGACAGTGATAGTGTTGGGGGAGAAAGAGATTAGAATTTAGCTCTGGCTACCACAGCATTCATCACATGGATTAGCAACCAGGCACGCACGCCTCGGTGGGAACTGCGGCAGGGATCTTTGGGGGAGCCACTAGCACCAAGGACAGCTCTCCTGCTGGCAGCTGTTCAATGTGGTTTTGCAACCCAATCCCTCTACCGGGTGGGACACCAAAAGGTAACTGGGGGGCCTTAGCCCCCAAACCATGTGGCTGGATCCCTCACTCTTAAAGCTGGTCTTGTCTGTCCTCTCCCTTTCATGGTCATTTGAGAAAATTCAATGAGTCCATTACTCTCTGTGAACCTCACTTTCCACTCTAAGGAGTAAATGAGACTTTTATGTGACAGTGGAAAAGCTACATTTAATCATGTCATCATACTAACCATGTTGTGGGGTTGCAGGGATGCTGACAGATGGGAAGGTTAAGAGATCAGATGGGTGGTAAAATGTTAAAAAAGAGAAAATACCAATTTGGGCCTATAATTTCCATGGCCCTGGGCATTCACCCCAGTTCCTTTTCACTTTTAGAATTAAAGGTTTTGAGGAGAAAAAAAAATCAAAAGTCCTTGTTGAACCTACAAAAACAACATATTGCTCTACCCCAGAGCTTCATCATTCTTCCAGTTTTCACTAACACTTTAAGCCTTTACCTTAAGTAAGTAAAAAGAAAATATTTATTTGTATTACAGATTTACTGCTATATCCTTAGGGCCCCATTGTGCTAGGTGCTGTACAAACATATAGTGGAAATAAACTTTAAAAGCTAGATTGTGCCCTCAGCTGTGTACCCATATAGGAACATATTGAACTTAAGAACTCCCTGATACCTGTGCATGGGCCACTTGGACATGCACACCTTTCTAAGATCATTCTTTCATGGAATTTGAATGCTACCATTATCTTGTTCAGTGCTTTGACTGTTATGTTGTCCGGTTATGCTTGTCCAAAACAGCATGAAATCACCTATTAACTTGAAATAACTAAAACAGTGGAATAATAACTTAATTATTTTTTCTCCCTGTCCCTTTATAAAGGAACATCCACATTATCAGGAAACATTTTAAGTTCTACATTATTACCAATAGATGGTCCCAGCAATTTCTGCCAGTTACCATGTGATAGGGCTAATTCTGCTAATTCTCAGTAAAATACAGAGTAGTATTTTACTTTGCAAGTAGTCTCATTGACTTGAGTGGGAGAACTTGCAGGATAAAATACTACTCAGTGTGAATAAAGGGGCAAACTGGGTCCTTTAGGGAATTATTTTTCAATTGGTTATTTATCTAACAGAACCTCTATATAAATTCCATTGCTTCATTGCATGTTGTTCTTTTTCATGCTCTTGGTATCCCATTCAACATTTTTTTTTTATGGTGTCAGCTATTTAAGTGATGGGCACCTTAAAAATAACTATGATACATATATGTCAGAACTGTCTATTGAAGAAAGAGCACCTTCTTCTTTTTAGGGAATTAAGTCACACAGTAACTTGTCACATAGACCTTAGTTCAATGGAAAAAAATATTAAGGAAAAACATTGTCTTTTAATACTTATAGATGCTACAAAGTAATTTTAACAGTAGCAGGAGTGAATATTAAAATAATCGAATAAATCTGCTAGATATAGAGAACAACTAACTAAACTATTATTGTACATCATGGGCTTGATTCTCATTTACATTTAGGCCCCTTTTACTGCTCTGGCAGTGCGAAGGGGCCTTCACATGGTCGTGACTGTTGGAGCACTGTAAAGGAAGGTCTTAATGTAGGTGAGCATCAGGCCCCATATCAGTTGGGCCCATCTTCTCCTTTTAAACTAGATGCTTCAACAGGGAGTAATAATCAATAAGAAGACATATTGCAGATTGTGTGGTAAAAAGATGAGCTCTTTTACTCATTTAGTTCAAGGACTGTTGCTCCTAAGCTCTGTGGTTCATACAGACACTCAAAAATAGCATTCTGTTTTCTGCCGCTTCCAAAGAGGGTTATTATGTGACGTACACCTTAAGAAGAAACAATTTACAGACATGCAGCAAAATGCAAAAGTAAAAGGTGTTCTCTAATTTTTCAGAAAGTTAAAAAACCAAACTAGAAAAAGAATAACAGCATAAAATACTTAAAGATGCAGCCTCAATAAAATCACACATGTTTATTCTTAGAAAGGAACAAAAACCACAAAAACCGTGGCCTAAAATTTGAAGTTTCAGCTGAAACCTACTGTGCCACAGAGTTTAAGTCGCTGTGTTTTTCTTCTGGTTGAATATGCTGTTGGTTTGAATGACAGAGGGTATATCCAATCATTGGTGTTTAATGTTCTCACCCAGTTCACAGCAATTACTTCCGGTTTCAAAGTTAATCGTGTGAGAGTGAATTAGCAGCATCACCACCACCACCTAAAAACAGTCATTTCTGATTATGCTATTCCTTTCACACATATTGCCACAAGTGTATAGTGCAGACACATCAATCAATATACACATCATAGAGAGACACAGTAATACAAACCAATCCCACAGCAACCAGACAGATACTGTAAGATCTGAAATAATTTAACTTCTACAATCAAATGAAAAAAAAGACAAGTTTCAAGAAGATAATTTAGCACCTGCAATGCGTGTTCAATAGAATATTACTCAAAAGCAGTTTATTATTCGTAGCAGAATCATACTAATAGCAAGATGTCATTTATCATGAGTGTGACAGAGAAATCCATGCTCATTATCATGATTTCTATTTCACAGTAAGTAGAAAACAACATAATGCCATAGTAACATTCAATTAATATGTATTAAAGAGACGAGTACATCCCAAACCCTTTCAATAAATGATAATGATGTTGATACAGAGCAGGCTTAAAACATCAGCTCCTACTATGTTTGATGATGCGCATGAAAATTGAAATTGTCAAGCGTCTACTCTCTCAAAATAAAAAAGAAATAAAGATACATCAGCTCCTACTGGAGGGGGCAAGATATCTCCCTCAAAAAGGTTGGACCTGTATAGGGATAACAAGAATAGTCAGAGATGCACTAGTAAGGATTAAAAAACCAAATAGTTTTGAAAGGGATATAAACCCTCATGCTTCTGGGCATAAAACAGATGCTAATTAATGTGAGCTAAGAAAATGGAAGCTGAGATCCTTGTGTGTGATAAGCAGGAACTGGGATTTTAAGAAAAATGCCAAATATCACAATAACACAATGCTGCTACTGGCTGTTTCCAAAATGTGTTAAATGTCACTCTTCCTACATGATGTCAGTCTGAGGGGGCATGCACTGTCTGCCTCTATTTGTAAGGGAGCCACCTGGTGCTCCTCTTGTATTCATCTGCCAGTGTCAGCTGGACTTGACATCTATAGCAGGTTCTGAATTTGGAAGAGCAGTTCTCTAAGCTCCATTACAAGTCAGTCCTCCTCCTGGAGTTTCTGCTGTTTGCATTGACAGTCAAGGCTGTTGCCAGGTAGAAAAGAGCTGTACATCAGGGGATGATTAATCACAGTAATCCTGTTTGTCACAGCTTGCTCT